AAACACAGGGACCGTGGTTCAATCCCCCCAGTACCACATGCCAGCCAGCCCTGCCCCCTGGTGGGCTGAGCGGGCCACACACACACACACACACACACACACACAAAATAAAATTTAAAAAATTTAAAGAATATATTCTATGCCAGGCAAGCACAAAGTCCTGACTTCGATTCCTGGTACACAACAAGAACAACAAATATATAAATACATATATATTCCAAAGGAACAAGAAATTCTGACATGAAGGCTTTCATTTCTGAATTGCAAAAAGGATTTTTTTGTGGGGGGAGGGGCGCTCAGGATTCCTTCAGGGCAGGTCTGGCTTGGCTTGAGGATAAGAGGATGGAACCACAGCATCCTGAGCCTGACTGCTTTGTTTCAGGAGGCACATGAACACCTGAGCTAATGGGCAGGCCCCTGAATTGCAAAAAGAAAGACTTGGTGTTGTTTTATTTCGATGTGATCTCCATGCCCTCAGGGCACACTTCATGTCCATCCACACCAAGGCAGATAGATGCCATCTGGAGAGAGACCGGAAGATAAAACTCGATCAATCTATCCACCCCCCTAGTGGTGTAAGATTTTATATATTTTGGGAACTCAAATTTTACTCCAGCAGGTGATTTTTACCAGTGCAAGTTACAATTGATCTCAGGTGTAACAGTTACATTTCAAAAAGGTAGCGCTGTGTAGCATTAAGCCGTTTTTTAGTTCTTTGAAAGAGTGTGAGGCAGACAGTTCACAGAGCAGCACCTTTATCCTGTAAAAGGGTCACCTTTATTTTGTTTTATTTTTTAAGGATCACCTTTACAGATAGAAGCAATAAATGACTTGAGGAATTCTGCCTTCGGCCCTAGGTCAAAAATGTCTCTAAGACATTTGTGTTATCTACCTAATCACCTAGGTAATGTTTCCTAGCAGCAAGACAAACCTACACAGCGTTCAAAGTCTGATCTAAAATTTCTGTGTCACAGCTTGAATTTATAGTCATCACCTAGCAGCTACTATTTACAAGTCAATGAAGGCACATCCATTAGTTTTACACATACATGTAAGAAGAGAAAGGCTGCCTAAAAATTTCTTGGTTACTCTCAGGATACACAAAACACAAATGTAAATTGCTTTCCCTGATAGCTGCTTTTCTCCATGAAAGGCAAACAGTTGTAAATTATCTCAGCTTAGCCTCCCAGAGAAAAGGGAAACCTCTAATTGAAGAGTTTTAGAGTTAACTTCTGGTGAGTCAGAGAAAAAACTGAGTTTTGTAACTACTAGTAGAAACGAAAGTCCAGACTGTTACTCAATTCTTTCTCTCTCTCTCTCTCTCTCTCTCTCTCTCTCTCTCTCTCTCTCTCTCTCTCTCTCTCTCTCTCTCTCTCTCTCTCTCTCTCTCTCTCTTTCTTTCTTTCTTTCTGTCTATGTATTTATTTGTTACAGGGTCTTGCTACACAGTTCAGACTCCAAGGGATCCTCCTGCCTCAGACTCCTCAGCACTGGGATTATAGGCATGCAACACCATGCCAAGTTTAGGGACCCACATGGCGCACCAATGGAGGCTTTAGAAAAGGGCTTCCAGGGGCTGGGAAGATAGCTTAGTAGAATAAGCGCTTGCCTGGCAAGCGCAAAGGCCTGAGTTCAACCCCCAGCTCTGAAGAAAAAAAAAAAAAAAAAAAAAGGCTTCCAGGCTGGATGGGCCTGGTGGCGCACACCTGCAATCCCAGCACTCTGAAGGTGAGGCAGGAGGATCCCTTGCAAGTTCGAGACCAGCCTGGGATATAAAGTAAATTCAAGGCCAGCTTGAACTGCATAGTGAGACCATCTCAAAAAAACAAAACAAGAAAGAAAAAAGAAAAGGCTTTTATAGCATCAATTCAGGTCACTGTGAGACACAGGATACCAGGTGATCATTGAAAGAGTTACCTTTCACCTCACTGAGCAGTGCACGTAGGAATGGTAGATAAGTGGAGACTTTCATTTTAACCTGGATGAAGTTACCCATTCAGGCAGTTGGAACTCAGCTTCCACTAAGGAATCTTTGGGTACCTCTCAGAGAGTCACCCTACTCAAGATCCTCAGTTGGTTTCTCAGTTTCTACTGGCCGACAGAACCAGAGATCTGTCTCCAGAAGGAAATCCAGCTGCCTGGGTCATCAACATTTAGTCCGCAATTTATTAGCAAAATTATTTTTCCTATACACATGAATGATGAGAATCAGGTCTGGGTGTGGGGCGAGAGTGAGAGGCAGAGAGACCCCCTCTAGGTTAGGGATTGTGCCTAAAACGAAATGTTCTGGTGCCTTAAGTATGGTGTTTTGCAAAATAGCTTCTGGTTTTACTTAGAGGTCAGTTCTTTCCATGTGGTCTCAGGTTCAGTCTCCCAAAGGAAGACACTGGGACCCTCGCTGATCTTTCTCAAGGTCTGAGAAGTTTATGATTTCACTGAAAAGTTACTGGAATTCTAGTGAGTTAATTCCAATCTACCACTTCCAGTGCAAACCATGGTGAGAATAAAGACACTAAGGCGGGCCTGGGGAGGTAGCTCCAGGGCATAAGTGGCTGCCTAGGAAGCTCAAGGTCCAGAGTTTAATCCCCAGTACAAAAAAACCCAAAAAGACACTAAGGCATATTTGTAGTTGTGGGAGGCAAGGGGTCCTAAGTCCAGGTATGATGATGGCTAACTGGAACAA